GCCTACAAGCCAATCCATCATTACTATTTTAGTATAAGTTATGAAATATTCAAAGGAAATTAATAAATCTACTAAAATTGGACATTGTCACCAGAATGGATGGGGAATTACTAATAAACTATGTACATGTAAGGTAATCTACCGAGAAAATAAAGAGTTTATTTACAATAATATAAAAAAAATAAAATTTTAATTCGTTACACTACATAGTTCGTACTGTATCGATCCTCACATTCTATACAATCGTGTAGCAAAGTAATGTATTTAGGTATTTGGGTTTCTATTATAAATTAAAGTTTTATTTGATTAGCTCAGGAATATTAGCAATAATATCACATTTATCATGCTTTACGCAAATCATTCTATTTCTGAATGTATAATGACGATTCTTTTGCGTCTATTTATTATCCTGAGATTTTTTTTTTGTAAAATTATGTAATTTGAATCACTAGGGCGTCCCCTCATGTAACGTAACAAGATCAGAAAAACTCAAATAAACGTTTGCTTGGTCAAAATCTCCTTTATCTCAAGAATTTGCATAAGAAACCGGTCATTTTCTCTAATAAAAAAAAAATTCCTTGAGCAATTTTACTATTGTAACGAATTTAATTTTATAATCGTCATAAAGTAGGTTCCAGAATGTGTTCTCTTTCATCTTAATCGAAATGTATAAAAGGGAAGCATTGATTATAATAAATATTCTCTCCTTAATTACACCATCATTAAATCGCCCTAATAGAATTACCATGCACTATGGAAGCCTTTTATTATTCAATCCACATAACTTCTAGTAGCGGTTGGAGCTACGTCGCTCCGTTACACTATGAACCTTTAAGTCATTTTGTCGATCATCACATGATTCGTAAAAAGGGGTCAATTTGTATTTAAGGATGAATGAGAAATTGGTGATCGGCAGTGCTCTTTTTCTTCGTTGCCCGACTTTGATCTGGCTCTTTCGTACTGTGCGCCTTCTTCGTGGTTAGTTTAACAAAAAAATTAGGTGTAAATCAAAACAAACAGCCAGAATACTAAATAAAAAACAAACCAAAAAACAAGAAAGAAACGAAGAAAAAGAGAGAAAACGGCACGGCACTTTCGCGTCATAAATTTGAGTGAATCATTGGAAGTTGAAACACACAATGCATTTGCATTAAGAAGTCAAGGAGAAACCTATCGCATGATGATTAGATATTAAGAATCACTTGCGGATTTAAGTAGATCATTAACAAGCGATACATTTGCATTTAGAAGTCGTAGAGAAACTTATCGCTTGATGAACATATTTGAAGGATCACTTACAGATTTATTGTATTTCATAAGAAAATTGATTCAAACAATGTATTTGCATTAAGAAATTATGGAGAAACTTATCGCATGGTAAATAGATATGAGGAATCACTTGCAGAGTTGAATAAACCATTAGAAATTAAACCAAACAATGCACTTGCATTAAGAAGTCGTGGAAAAACCTATCGCTATGAATAGATATGAAGTATCACTTGTAGCGCTTGATGAATAGATATGAAGAATCACTTGTAGATTTGATTGATTCATTGGAAATTGGACTAACCAATGCATTTATATTAAAGAATTCGTGATGAAGCTTATCGTATGGGGAAAAAAATGGAAGCATCAAGAATTCATGGTGTTTATCACACAATGAAAAGGTAGGGAAGATCATGAAGATATTTACAGATTTGAACAAAACCATCAGTAATTGAACCAAATAACGCATTTGTACTGAGAATTCGTGGCAATGCTTATCGTGGAGAAACATATCGTATGATGAAAAGATATAAAAGGCCACAAAATCGAACCAATTAAAGGATTCAAGAGATACTCACCATACGATGAAGAGATATGAAAACTCGCTTGTATATTTAAATAGATCATTGGAAATTGAACCAAATAATGCAGAAGCATTAAGAATTCGGGGCGGTACTTATCGTATGACGAAGAATCACTTGCAGATTTAAATGAACATTAGAAATCGAAACAGATGATGCATCCGTCTTAAGAAGAAATAATGCATTTGCATTAAAATTCGTGGAGATGCTTGTCGAATGACGAATAGATATGAAGAATCACATGCAGATTTAAATAAAACATTAGAATTTGAACCAAATAATGCATTTGCATTGGGAATTCTTGGAGATACTTACGCATTAAAAATTCGCGGTGATGCTTTGTATGAATTCTTATCATAAGATGAAAGATATAAAGGGTTACCTGTAGAAATTGAACTAAATAATGCATTTGCATTAAGGATTCGTGGAAATACTCTCAGTATGGCGAAAGGATATGAACAATCACTCGCTTGTTTGGATAAATCATTAAAAATTGAACCAAAGAATGTAGAAGCATTAAAAATTTGTGGCTGTGCTTATCGTATGACGAATATAATAAAGAATCATTTGCGGATTTAAATGAATCTTTAGAAATCGAACCAGATAACATATCTGCTTTGAGAGGACGTGGAGAAAAGATTTATTACACGAATTCATGGTGACATTTATCGCAAAAAAACAAAAAAAAATTATAGAGATGCTTACCGTATAATGAATAGACATTACAAAATCGTTTGCAGATTTAATAAGTTGAACCAAACAATGCATTGCATTAATAAGTCGTGGAGAAACTTACTGCATAGTGACATGAAAAATCGCTTGCAGATTTAAGCAAATAATTAGAAATTGAACCAAGCGATGCAATGCATATGACAATCGATTTGCTGATTATCAACACGCTTAAATTGTTTAAAGAATCCTTAGTCGCAACTCTTTGATCGGAACAGATCGGATTCAGGGTCAACCACGAAAGGTTATTCTCGCCCAGACTTCGTGTGCCGAATAAACAACGTCCTATTCCTCAAAGGTGGAGAAAAGGCAGATGTGGAAATTTTGGAAGGGCTTTGAAAGATCTTGAGGATAAATTCAATAGAATCGATCCTCTCACTCTTGGAGTGGATTATATTATTTGCTATGCTGCAACCGGGTGCAAATTACGGTTTTATGGAATTGTGGAAAATGCAATGTCCCGAGCCGCCTAGTTCTACTCTCAAAAGAATTCTTAAGCGTCTCGAAATTTCTGAATTTCAAAATTTCGGAATTTTTGAATTTTTGACAAAATGCCTTTCAGAGATTACAACAACTCTCGGAAGATTTTACTCAACTCCTTCAAACGGAATATGATTATAGGGTAAAGGATTTGAATCAACTTTCGGAAGATTTTACTCAACTCCTTGAAACGAAATATGATTATAGGGTAAAAGATTTGCATCAACTTTTAGCAGATTTAACACAAATCCTTGAAACGAAATATGATTATAGGATAAATGTTGATAGTTTTATATGATCTACTTGGTAGATTGGATTTATACATAGCAAATAAAAAATACTTCTGTACTTCTGATAATATATACTAAATTTATATGATATGTAGTTTAAAATAGTTTGTTTATAATAGTGGAATTCGCAATGTACATTGCTTTAAAAAGTTAACTTTATACAGATATAATCAAATTAATATGTTAAAGTGTAAAATAAATAAAGTCAAAAAAGAAAATTGTCATTTTTAATACAGTAATATGGAAAAAAATAAATTTAATTAAATAGTCAAGTGCTTAATGATGTTTTTTTTTTATTTAATTGAACATTTAAAGATGATTTTTTTGTTTAGTTGAGCGCAATATTAGGGCTGAATCAGATATGAATTATGTATAGTCAAGAAGTTAAAATAGCGGTCAAATATTCATTAATTAAGATATTTCTTATTCATTTTCTTGTCATCTTCTTTACTTTTATCATCCTCTTTACTATTATCATCCTCTTTACTTTTATCATCCTCTTTATTCTTATCATCCTCTTTACGCTTATCATCCTTTTTTACCTTTATCGTCATCTTTACCTTTATCGTCCTTATTTTTATCATCATCGCTATTACCAATAACTTTAGTATCGACTTCCGGATCTTTATCTTCTTTATTATCTTCTTTCTTTATTTTTTGGAAACTCTCCTGGATGACCTTCCAGTTTAATTTCTTTACACTTGCTATAAATTTTTAAACCCAATTGTAATTCTCATTTTTCTTCATTCTTCTTATGGTACCTTCTTTATCCTCCTCCTCATCATCATTAGAATCGGACTCATAATTATCCTTATGGAGCCTTTTAGCACGTTTTCTTTACGTTTCTTAATTTCTTCGTCCTCTTTATAATCAGATGTTACGCTTGTATCTGAATCAGGAGGAGCAATTTCACGATTTATACGTGGAATAATTTCGCCTGAAGAGTGGTTTCAAGGTTGACACTACGAGGAGCTAATGGAACTGATGAGCGGCTATGAATTAAATAGGACACGGAAACTTAATCGATATCTTTAACAAAATAAAAAACATTGTCATTTATAGTACTATTAGTCACAAAGAAATAAAATTTAATAGGAAAAATATCTGCATATATTTAGGTTTACCACTAAAATGCCTATCATCAGGTTGTTGAAGTACTATAACTAAATCACATTCCTCAGGTAAATACAAAGTAAAAAAGGATGATAAGCGTAAAGAGGATGATAAGAATAAAGAGGATGATAAAAGT